CAAACAGAATAGCTATGTGTACTTTATTTTGGGTTCCTGTTGCATGAAGTATTGTTTACCATCATTTGACTTTCAGTCTGTGAGTTTCCTTTTGGGTTAGATGGGTTTCTTGTAGACAGAATATGGTTGGATGGTTTTTCTTGATCCATTGTGCCAGTCTGTTTCTTTTAATTGATGAATTGAGACCATTTACATTAATTTTTATAACTGTTATATAGTGCTTTATTTCTGACATGTTAATCTTTCTGCTGTTGCATCTTTATCTTTCCATTCTGTTTAATTGTCTGCTTTGCTTAGTGGTTTTTTCCTCTGTGTATCTAAACTGTCTTTCAGTATTCTTTGCAGGGTGGCTTGGTGATCATGAAGTTCTTCATCTGTTCTTTGTCATGGAAGTATCTTATTTCTCCATCAATTTTGAAGGACAGTTTTGCATGGTACATCAGTCTAAGTTGGAAATTGTTTTCCTTTAGAATCTGAAATACTTTGCTCCATGCTCTTCTTGACTTCATTGTTTGTTTCGAGAAGTCTGCTGTAATTCTGATAGGTTTTCCTTTATAGGTGAGCTGCCTTGTCTCTCTAACTGACTTAAATATTCTATTCTTATGCAGAATTTCTGGGATGGTTATTATTATATGTCTGGGTGTAGTTTATTTTGGTTATGGCCATTTGGGGTTCTATAAGCGTCACTACTCCTAATGTCAGTTTCCATTCTCATGTTTGGGAAATTTTCAGCTATTACTTCTGTAAACAGCCTATTGATATCTTTGGTGTTGTCCTCTTCTTTTTCATTTATCCCTATCAGTCTTATGTTGTTTTTCTTTGCATCATCTTGCAGCTGTTGAATTATTATTTCCTGATTCCTTGTTATTTTTAAAAGATCTTTCCTTTCATGTTCATCAGCTGCAATCTTGTCTTTGAGGTCTTAAATTGTATCTTTGCTTTCATTTTGGCAGATTTGACAACTTTCAATGGAATTTTTGATTTCCTGCATATCCCTTTGACTCTGCTTCATGTGTTCTGTTTGTTTCTTATATTATTCATCCAGGGATCTATCTTTTTGCATTGTTCCTCTAATTTTTTAACTTTGTCTTCTTTAGATGTGTTCAGCATCTCTTTCATCACTTTTGTCATTTCTTCTTTTACCCAGAAGATTATTTCTAATTTGAATTCCTTTAAGGCTTCCCTGAGTTGTTTATTTCAGTTGCTATTATTTCAGGTATTTCAAGTGTATGGCATATATTTTCTTCTGCATCCATGTCTCCTAGGCTTGCTTGGGTTGTGCTGGAAGTTTGAGATTGCAGTTTGCTCTTTTGTTTTGTCATTTTCCTATATTTCTGGATTTCAAGCAATGTTTCAAAGCTTCCTCTGTGGGCTGGGAGTCAGCTGGCCCCCTTTTGGCTCCCAGGGCAGACCACAGGCAACTAGTAGGCACTTGGAGGCTGCTGGGCATGACCAGGTAGGCCGATGGGGACCTCCTTTGCATCCTCTTGGGATTTTGGGTGCCGGGCATGGTCTTACTGCCTGGGAGCAACCTTCTAAAGCTTCCCTGTGCACTGGGATTCAACTCTCACATGTTTGGGTCTCGGGACTGAATTCAGTCCCCTGTTAGCTGCTTGGAGTTGCATGGCTCAGTTAGGACTGCGGGGGCCTCCTATTCATCCTCTGGTGATTTAGAACACTGGGCGAGGTCTTACTGGCTAGAAGCAATTTTCTAAATCTTCCCTGTGCCCTGGGATTCAACTTGGGCACATTTGGCTCTCAGGACTTAATTTAGGCTCCTGCTAGCCACTTGAAGATCGAGATATTGTTTTAAAGGTGAAAGATGAGTTCTTAAGTCTGACTCTCATCTTCCCACAAGAGAAAGGATATAATGTGAAGTAAACACTTTGGGATATCAAGCCAACATGTGCCTCTCTGGAGTGTGTCCCTCTGGTCACACTATGTCAGCTTTGCACAGCGATAAAAATTTCCTGAGATAATCAAGCTCCAAGTAAGGAATATATATTTTGGATCATAGTTTTAGATGTTTCATTTTATCAGTAATGACCCTCTTTCTTTGGGTCTGTGGCAGCAAAGCATGATGATCAATACACAATGGATCACAGCTGGTACTTGAGTTCTTCAAGGAGGGAAGCAGGAAGAAAGAGAGAGAAGACAGAGAGAGAGACACAGCGAGACAGAGACTGAGAGACAGAGACAGAGAGAGACAGAGAGAGAAAACAGAATCCTCATAATTTCCCTGAAGGGCACAAACTGAATAACCTAAAATCTCCCAATAGATCCAAAGGGACACAGGTGTCCCTTTTTCAGTTTATGTTTGTGTGCCTATGTTTTTTGTTTTGGTTGAGATGGGGTCTTGCTAAGTAGTACAGGCTGGTCTTGAAACCACTCTGTACCAAGCAAAGAATAGAATAAATTCAGTAAAGTTTTAGGATACAAAATCAATATGTAAACATCCAGTTGTATTTTTTATTTTTACTTTGAAGAGAATAAAACCAAATGAGAAAAAACAAAATGTGGTTAGTCAAAACAAAAGTATAGACATAGTACATAATTTTAAAACCACAATACAATGTTACCTACAATGGTTACCATGAGGTCTCTTGTAATCTTCAATAGAATTCCCCATGTTATCAGGCACAATAAAATTGAACATAGCAGCACAGAACAAAATTAATAAAAACAAAACATTGCAGACATTTTAGGACTTCAAAAGAATATCATAGTCAAACCAGAATTGGTATCATAGTGAATCTTATTGTCTTCACAGTAGTTGCCTATACCCTCAGACTTGTTACTATCAAAAGTAACTTGTTGGTCATTATTTAAGTTACTCTCATAGGAGACATAGCTTAGCTGTCAGCTGTGGTGCTCCTAGCCCTCCCCTGCCTTGGCTGTACCATAGGCCACTGCTAAGAAACCAGACATCATCAAAGAGGTCAGGCAGGGGTCTAGGCTGTCAATAACACTCTCCCATCTCAGTAAACTTGATGACCACAGCCAGTTCTCCTAAAGAGTTTCTGGCTTCAGTTATCACACTTTTCAGATACCTGGCTACTATTGATTAAGTGACTGCATCTCCCAATATTCCAAGGAACTGCCCCAATGATAACTGTGAGTTTCCTGGATGGCCACTCTGATAGCTCTGCATTTGAATTAAGTATTAGAAGAACTGAATTTTGACCAATCATCAAGGTACAGTTTGCATCAAATGAGCAGGTTCAAAATTGGACCAATCACAGGCTCAAATTCAGAGCAATCAGCAGGCTTGGCTTTGTACCAATCACAAGCCTTCTGACACTACCTGGGCAGCATTCTCCTTGCAATTTCTCAGTGGTATAGAAGGGCTCCCTGTTGGGCTATTGACCCTTCATGCTACCGCCTAGCTCCTGTTCAAATAAAGCATCAGTCTGGTGAGCCTGTAAATCCTCTCATCATTGATTTCTCTAGAATTGTGGTTAAAATAGGGCTTCAGAAGGTTCTGTAAATCTACTTGTGATTCTGGTACTGAGTAATGTGGACCAAGTGGCTGTTTTAAAATAAGCAACAGACACTCGGACCTTGGATTATGAAGAGCTCCAGAGACCTGCAACCAAAGAATACTGATAGAGTCAGTCACCGAAAGTGTTAAATGCTTTTGGCATCAACTTGAAGCAGCCAGTGGTATCCTGGTCTAGAGCTGGGCACCGAAAGCTAAGGGCCACTGGTGCTCAATCCCTGGAGTGGCTAGCAGAGCTGCACTTTGCTGATTTGTGGTTTCAGTAGGAACTGAGCAAAAGAACCTTCACCTGATTGGCAATAGCAATGCTTGGGTCCCATTTATAAGCAACAACTGGCTCTGTGGTCTAGAGACTCACACACTCCTATTCCCTACTGCTCCAAGAGTGGGGATAGAGATGCAGAAGAAGGGGCACTAAGTGCATGGACAGACGCCTTCCATGGGGTAGGACTGGACTCATTTGTCTGTAGGTGTGTGTGTTTGAGACAGAATCTCTGGGCAGTTCAGGCTGGCCTTGGGCTCACTTTGTAGCCTAGGCTGGTCTCCAACTTGCAACGATGCCCCTGCATCAGCCTCCCAAGTGCTAGGATTACAGGAGTGAACCACTATGCCTTGCTTGGACCCATTTTTTAAAAAGAGAGTTGAACCAGGGAAGAAGCTTGCAAAAGTGCCAGACTTTTTCCTAGGTCTCTGCCATCACTAGGGTGCCCGCTCACTTAACTGCTTAATCAGTCTAGGGAGGAAAGCAACTATGTAGAGCAATGGGAAGTACACTGGCAAGCCCCTTCTGTAGATAAAATGGAAGGTTTGAATTTCAGATACTTCCGTACCCGATCATTGTAGACAGGAGCCTTATAAGTGTTTGAGCACCCAGTTAAACTACCATGTTATTCTACGGTCCAGGCAGATTCATGTTTGCCTTATGTCTTCCACTGCTAGAGATAGGAAGTTGAAGAGACAAACCAGAGAAAACCGGAAGGAGGATGCAGCATGTACTTTGTTCCTCTCTCCTAGAGAGAGCGAGGGGCTGGGGATTCCGTAGCAGCTGTATGGCAGTAGGATGAGGGTGGCTTGGTTCCAATGCGAGCTGAGGGTTTCCCACCTTTCCATGTGACTATTTTCTCAGACAATCTAGGTGTGGAATTCTCTAGAACTGTTTGTGATGCAATCTAGAGAGAACCCAGACATGTTTTATTCAGTGCACTTAGGGTGAGGGAGAATCAGAAATCTAAATTTCCCCATGCTGCTGATTTTCTTCCCATGAGGAGTGTACAGGGTACTGAAATTATCGGAGGGGGAATTCAAAGCAAAGAGAGAACAGAAAACAATGACAGGGAAATGGCTACTTTTATTTTTATTTCCTCCTATGAAATAACAAGTCCTCAAAGCTCTGCTGCATACAGATGGAAATCAGTTGGTAGCTGTCCTTGAAAATGTGGGCTTGTGTCCAAAGCTGTGGGTGTCATGAGTCACTCTGCCCATCAGCGCCATGCTCACTGCTTCATTGCAGGCAGCCTGGGGGGAGGTATATATCTAGACTGCTGGGATCATCTTCCCCAGGCAGATAATACAGTTCTACAAGTTTATCTGTGTCCAAATTGGCAAAATCCTCCACATACTGACCCTGAATGTTGTCACACTGAGTGTCAAATGATGAACCAAACACAGAGGTTCCTTCTCTTCTGGTGATTTCACTCTCCAAGAGCTCCAGTGGGTCATGGATATGGTCATTTGAAGTCACAGAAATTGGTGAAGGACTTGTAACAGGATTTTGTGGGGCCTCCTGCTCTAAAGAGGGCTGTGTGGAAGTTCCCGGTGATGAAGCTAGCTTCACTTTTAGCTGATTTTTCTTCCATTCCATACGCTGGTTCTTAAACCAGTGCTACAGGGAAGAGAGTAGCAGGTCAATAAATGAGAATGAATCCAAAGTTTTACTTTCATGTTCCTTAGGAGGTGAGGTTTTTGGGTCAGAAAGGTGATCTTCAATTGCTTTAGACTGATCTGAACAGGGGAAGTTCTTTGTATCCTGTGCTGCTCTGGGTCCCAGAAGGTAAAGTGGGGACTGGGTTTTACTGGCAATGGGTAGAGGAGGAAGGGGCACTCAAGCTCTAAACCAAGAAAGGTTAAATAAAGGGGGCTGGGTGTTGTTCTATATTAGTGGTTGCTCAAAGGTTTCCAAGAAAACATTGCAAAGCCTGAGAGCAAGGAATGGGAATGTAGCTTGGATCCATGCAGGGATTGTGCCCTGAATATCTTGAGAATGTGTTGGAATAGATCTGAAGGACTGTGAATGTTCTGACTGAGCAGTGTCTAGATATCTACCTGCTGTGTTTTGGGTAAATACTCACAGGGTGGGTTTTTGTCTTCTATGTAATGGTATGGAGAGGAGGTACACTTTAAGAGGTAGAACCTGGTAAGAAGTAATTTGGCTTCAGAACTAGGCCTTTGGGAGTGATTAATACCCAGCTCCAGAAAGTGGATTAGGTCTTGCAGCACTAGGATGATTACAAGAGTGGGCTGCTGGCAGACTTCAGCCCTTCCAGGGGGAGAACCACCAGTGTCTTCTGAGATCCACACCATGCTGGAACTTAGGATGCTGGGAAACCAAGCAACCAGCCTGCCTCCCTGCCAAGCAATAGTGAACTTACTGGTGCACGGCCTAGATTCAAACATCCCACTTCCTCTACTCTCCTTCCCCTGTCACCCTGTTAGCAAATGGGAACCAGAAATTTGAGCATCTCTTGGGAGGTTGACCATGGCCAATAAGGGGTATTTCCTTCTACCACCTCTTTGAAGGCAAATATTGTTATTACTGTTTTGCTTTATTCTGATTAATGGTACTGCTCCATTCAATATTCTGTTTTGATAAGTTACATAATGTTCGGTATTTCATTTGATTTTGATATACGTGATGGGAAGAACAACTATTGTAAAGATAACGAAATATACTGTGATATCTATTACTGTTATCCCGGTAACCTGCAGTGAAGCTCTGTACCAACTGCACTACACAGTCTCAGTTAGCTTTATTCTGTCTTGTTCTGTTGTATTTTAATAATTTCAAAATAAATAAAAAAAGAAAAAAAAAAAAGAGTGGGCTGCTAATATGGGACCAAACCCAAACAGCAGGATCCAAGATGCAGACTCAAAGGGTCTTATGCATTGCTGTGGGCCAAGATGTAAATCTGACTCTTGTATTGATTACTCTTGGAAGACAAGTCTTTTGGGTGAGCCTCAGTCTGCCTCAAAAAGTGATCATGGGTGAGGTGAAAATCTGTCATGTTTCACCTCTGTACAGACACACTGCACTTGGCCATGCATGAGACTTGCGTTTGTGTGTCACTTCCTGGGTCAGGTGTACCACCTACAGACACACTCAGGTACCTACCTTTATCACTGATTCACTGAAATTCAGTTTGGCAGCTAATTCTTTTGTAACGTCGTGCCCTGGATGCTTGTTCTTCTCAAAGGCACTCAGCAGTACTAAGTGTTGGGAAGGGGTAAATTCAGTTCGCATCTTGTGAGTGTATTGTATGTTTTCTGCAGAGGGAATAGACAAAGACTTTTTTTTGTTGTTGTTGTTGAAACAAGTTATGCTTTTTTATTTTAAAGATAGTAAAATATAACAAAACAAAACAGAACAAAGCCAATCAAAACAAAGTAGCAAAATTTGTACAGAACTTCAAAGCAGGATTCTAGAAAACAACAATGGCTGCCATAGTATATCTTTTTTTTTTTGGAATAGACAAAGACTTGCATGAAAGCAATATCCAGATAGAAAGGACAAAAGCATGTGTTAAAATAATACCCAAAAGTGGACTTCCAGGAGAACATGGCGGACAGATAGCAGCAGCTACAGAGGCTCTCTGAAAGACCCAGCTTAGAATTCAGGAAGGGTGCAGAGTAAGGAATGATAAGCAAGTGGAGATATGCCCTGCTGACCCAAGAATGAACTGGGCTGAGAGAAACCAACTGGGAATGCAATCCTGGTGCTATAACAGGAACAGAAAAGCCTCAGTGTGGAAGCTGGAGCCCGTGCCATTGGAAGCCATGATTTGGGTTTCCCGCCACCACCGCTGCATCTACATCCGCTAGGCAGGGAGAGAGACAAGCGAAAGCTCTGAGAACGGGAATTGGTGAACAGAGTTGAAAGCAGGACAGGCGGGGAGCTGTGCATTGATCTGCAGTGAGTGAGAGAAACTGGGACTCTTCCACAGTCTAGGAGACTCCAACACAGGACATTCTGGGACCGGGCAGACTTGCGGGAACAGGGCGCTGCAGTGACTTCAGTCACGTCTCCCCCTCTCAAGCAGGATTAGTGAGCAGTGCCTAGCCTACGTGACGCTGCTGGCTGAGACCCAGTAGGCTAGCACAACCCAGATCCCAGGGCCTGAAGGTGACCTGGATGGGCGGGCCCCGCATAGGCTGCCTGGTCTGCAACTTCCTGGTGTGCTGCAGTGGGCGGGAACACCTAGCTGGCACAATTCAATCAGACTGTGGCCGACAGGGAAGGAAGGTGGGCTTCCTATATACACTTGCATATATAAGGAATAAAGAGTATGGGAAGAGGCAGCAACAAGAAAGTGTCCTCGGCCCCCAATCCTGAGAAAGAGGCAATAACAGACACGGCACCAATAGATATAAAGCGCTATCTCCGGAGCCTCATAGACAAGTTCAGGAATGAAGTTATTAATGACCTGAAGCTAGACATAAGCAGAATAGTTAGAGAAATGCTAAGCACCACCCAAGAAAAAACAGATGGTGGAATGGAAGAACAGAAAAAGAGGGGAGAATTGTTTGATGGAGAAAATAGAGAAAGCATAGAATACGTGAAGCAGGTTCAAAGAGATTACCAGGAAACTAAAAACTCTATCAAAAACTGGCATAACAGCTTGAAAGAAACTAAGGACAGATAATCTGAACTGGAGGACAGATTTGTAATACGGGAGCATGAAATGAAAAGCTTCTTAAAAATAACAAAGAAACAAACAGCAATAATACAAAGACTAGAAGATGATAAGAGGACCTATAACTTAAGAATTAAGAACGTAAAAGAAGCAGTAGGGACACAAACAAATGAACTACAAAAGCTACTCACAGAAATAATCCAGGAGAATTTTCCTAATTTAGCAAAAGGTAAAGATACTCAGTTGTATGAAGCATAACAGGACCCCAGCCACCTACAACCCAAACAGAGCAACACCCAGGCATATAATAATTAAAATTCCAGAAATCCAATATAAGAACAGAATATTAAAAGCCGTCAGAGACAAGAAACAGATCACTTACAAGGGAACACCCATCAGAATTACAGCAGATTTCTCGGCACAAACCATCAAATCATGAAGAGTGTGGGGGGAAATAATTCAAGCTTTGAAAGATAATAATCTCCAGCCAAGATTGATATATCCTGCACAACTATCCCTGGAAATTGATGGAAAAACAAGGTGCTTCCAGGATAAAGAGGACCTAGGAGAATATGCAACCACCAATTCAACTCTACAGAGAATACTGCAGGATATTCTAAAAAAGAAAAATACAAAGAATCCAGAAATAGTGGCAGAGAGGCCACAATGAATGGAGCAGAAAACAAAATGAAGAAGACAAACTGACAACTAATGACAGAAAAAGAGCTCAACAAACATGAGGCAGAGAAGATTGGATGATAGGAACAGCTATTTTGGAGAAAATGACATCTTAATATGTAATACTGATTTAGTATCATCTTGTTTTGAGGTCTCATCAGGCTTTTGTTCTTCTATCTCCATTGGTCTAAACAGGTTGTATCTTATTGGGTTTTATTATGTATGATAGTATAAGCAAAAATGTTTATAGACAAGGAGATTATACAGAAACCATTGTTCATTTTCTGTTAGTTGATTCTAAATACCCTGTAATACTGTCATTCTCTTAAATGGTTTTACATTGTTCTGATATATTTGATGCTACAGTATATGAAGTTATACTCAAAGATTTCAAGGAAAGAGACAATATGGTAACTACTTTTATGTTGGGATAATCTTGTGGTGAAACACTATTTTGCTTAAATGGTTATGTTTTGATTTGCGCTGTTTTGCTGTTATGCCCTCTTTTATCTCAATCTCCATTTTATTATTTACTTTTTTATTTTTATCCTTTTAATTAAGGGAAAAATAAATTTTAAAAATAGCAGGATATATTATAGTAACCCATTTTGACTTTCCATTATCTTGATTTAAAGCCCTGTATTGCTCTCACCATCTTGTTTTGACTGATGTCCCTCTATTCTGTTTTGCTTGATAGTACCAGGTTCGAAAGTTTAGGCAACAGCTGTGAAGATAGTGGGATTCATTATGACGCCCATTCTGGTTAAGACCTGTAATGTCTCCAATGTTTTGGTTTTGCCAGTTTTGTTCTTTACTGTTTTGTTCAATTTTATTGTAACTGATGATATAGGCAATTCTACTAGAGATAGCGGGAAGCATTATGGTAACCATTGTTGATCACCTTGTATTATGCTTTTACATTATCTATTATGTCCACCCTTTTGATTTGACTGACTCTGTTCTGTTATGTCACATTTGGTTCTACTCTCTTCCAAAAAAGTAATAATAACTGTGGGAGCAACAAAACCCAAAATGTGTAATTGTCATTTTACAAAAGAGAGGAAAAGAAAGTGCTCTAAATGATATAACTGCATGTATATTTAAGTGTATAAGATAGATAATGATATTACTGAGTTTTGTTGGATCATTGAACAGAACTGTTTGCAGTCTCACTGCTGGAATGTCCACTTTATAAGCTTTAATTTTGTAACTTGAACAACTATTTCTAAGATGACAATGTAATCCATTAACTAGTGATTTCCTACTGTTTATTTTTTTCTGTAAATCTGTATAACTTGTACCCTTTCTCTGCTTGTTTTCTTTTTCTCCTTAAATAAAATTTAAAAAAAAATAATAATACCCAAAAATGAATTTCATGCTTGGCCTGAACTGTGTGCCAGGTCTTGGCCTAGAAAGGTCACCCATGGAACTGCATTCGTCTGCACCTCCAGGTAACCTGTTCCTCACAGGGAGAGAATAGTGTTGGCATGACAGTAACAGTAGGCATGGGTTCACAGGGCTCATGCAACACTTGAGACCCTGGTACACTAAGCATTCAGACTCAGAGATGCTTTAAGACCCTAAAGACCTTGCTACTGATTTGGTCATTTATTAGTGGGGTCCATGTGGGGAGCAGCTATGAAGTTAAGTGACCTCAGAATGCATGCTGATTCTCTTCTCCACTGGTTATGTCTGGGCTCAGTGTTCTGGGAAAATCTCCTTTGGAGATTAAACCTGAGACACAATGGGGAGAACTGGCTTCCATATGACCCTGGAAGAAGCTATCCCCAGAAACAGCACACAGGGAACCTAAACACATTAGAATAAGGAGGCTTTCCAACCTCTCTAGTTGTGGACTTTAAAACCTTTATTGTAAATTCATAGAACAGTAGGTAATGATCTTGCTCAGGCCTTTAACTATCCCTTATAGAATTTTGATAGTGGTTACTCTGCCAGCTAATTAATTAATAGCAGCTGCCACCCTCAAAAGCAGAGAACAGGTTCCCCTAGCATCTGTTTGGTGAATCCCCATTGAAGCCAGTGGCCAATGGAGTCAATGGAATGTTGACCAGACAGCTGGATTCCTTTCTGGAGGCTGAGCATCTCTATTTCTAAGCTTTTCAGTGGAGTTTCAGATCACTTAGACTACCTTCCCCACCTTCAGAGAGAAGACTGAGGTAGCTTTCAACAGTTGTTTACATTTCACAGCAGGTAGTAGGGAAAATTTTACATTTGTACCTTACACATGTTAATTAAGAGTAAATAGGCCTTTCTTTTCTGTGTGCCTGGAAGACTTGAAGTTTAACCTGTGCTTTATTTAAATATAGATATTTAAATAAAATGCAGCCATGTCCCTCCACTCAAAAAGATTGCCTAGGTAATTAGAGAAGGCAAGTGCATTGGAGAATTTGCCCAAGAGCGCAGGGCAAAATACCTCAGGTTTATTTGTTATCTGTTTCAGAGGGGATATCCTAGAACAGAAATGCACACCTTTTCATGATAAGCAAAAGTAGTAATTTATAACAAAGTTATAATTCCTTCTTTAAACCTTCCTTAAGGAAACAAAGTCCATGAGCTATCTGGGAAGGTAGGATTGCCATCAGGCCCGGCTCTAGAGCAGTGCCAATCCAGGGATGCCTAGGGACTATTTGGCAAATAGGAATAAAAAGGGATGCATTGTTTATCTCCTTTATTTGCATAATTAGATAGCTCAATTCATAGCTCAGTGAAAGACCTTGAGGTCAATTCTCAGGTACAAAGAGCTTTCATACTTATGCCTTGCTTCTAGACATGAGCAACACAGTGTCAAAGCCTTGTTCAACCCTTCCATGTTGAAAAAGAGACAATTGGTATTTCTCTGCGGGAGTGCGTGGCCTACCTACCACAAGAGCCAAAGTGGAACACAGAGGGAAGTATTAATTATGATACTCTT